CCTCATGCCACTGTTCCGGGGGGCAGTGGTTTGAGCCTAGTGGAACCCCGCTCAAATGCCTCGCACGCAGTCTATAAAACTCAGAAACAGACCCCTTCCCCGCCTGGTGGTGGTGGTGGTTCGCATGCGGCGGATGTGCCGGATGCACCTCCGACACTGAGGGTCGCTGTGCCTTGACCGGTGGCGCCTTGGGCGTCAACGTGGTAAAGGACAGCTCCAGCAGTTCGCAGTTCTTCATCCAGTAATCCTGGAACTTCGCCTTCGCGTCAGCTGCGAGATATACCAAGAACCCGGAGGGAACGTGGTCCGGGGTCAGGTGCGAATGGCAGGGCAAACAACACATGCACATGTCAAGCACTATTTACTTCCAGTGAGAACATCTCTCCGTGGGATTTCGTCAGGCTGGGAACATTTCCAAACTCTACGGGTCAGAAATTGTCCATGGCCGCATCGGATTAGTACGGAACAACAAACCGGACGGATGAACTATGGGGAAAGAAACAACTCCTGTTGCCGAGCCTCACGGAAGCCAAGAGAAAGCACGCGTCCGCGCAGAAGCCATGGCTACTGTTTGACATCAAGGTGCACTCCGTCGCTTTCCTCAAACCGGGGAGGCGGGGGGGGGGGCGGGGGGTGAAAAGCAAACCCAGCTCAGCGGCCTGGTCGCCAAAGAACTTATGCAGGAAGCAGTTGAAGAAATCGGCATGCGCGAAGATCGCGATGACCTGCGTCAGCTCAACCGCTCAATCGGGTGTTGCAACAAATTCTGCCGGAAATGCCTCCCCATCGAGAGAAGTTTAAACGAGGACATAGATTAAGCTGCTCATTGGGCTGTCAAAAGAACAATTGCGTCCAAACGAGTGTCCTCTTTATGGTCTGCGTCAAGATGACAAATGTCGAAATGGCCAATTTGTTAATGGTAACCCTCTAGGAGTTTAAGCTTTCGAGGGAAAGGGGCACCGAGGCGCATTTCCGGGGTTTCTACTGAAAAGAGAATCGCATCCACCGTCTGAAAGGTGGCATGCTTGGATGTTCAACAATTTAGCAGGTTATGACTTATTATCAACCATGACTACAATCTGCTTAATGAAGCTTTAAAGGGAGTCCTAAGTGGTAAAAACATCACCAACGAAGCAGTACAACTGGCAAGCAACCCTCCCCAAGAGGTGTTCCACTCAATTGACGATCTCAAACATACGAAACAAGTTACACTGAGGTCCGTCTCAAAACGGAGACACACAATCAAAGTTCAAAGTGGGTTTTTGCTTGGTTTGCCTTTGCAAGAGCCCAAAGCTACCCTGACACGTGCCTCAACATAGGGGAGCACCGCATTTTGGGGTGGTTTCCTCCAGAACTCCCATTGGAAAACAACGCAAAAGGGTGCCCTCAGGAAGAAAAAAAAAGAGAGAGAAAAAAAAAGACAAGAAAAAGCCATGTGAGCCAGGGCCATCTATTTTTCCCCCCAAAACAACCAGAAAGGACACCTATCCCCACATCCGAATCTCCGACCCGCGAAGCCCAAACCGAACCATGGCCTTCTCCGGCCGTTGCTCCAGCCACCGGGCGAAGCACTCGACTCGCCGCTCGAAGGCGGCCCTTCCCTCGCGGCGACCTACCGAGCGCCAAGCAAGAGCCGAGGGAAAGAGTCGAGGGGTCAACGTGATCGATCTCTGGGAAAAAATGCAGCTGAACTCATAACCTTCACATAGCGAGTCTTGAGATTTCTGGAGAAATAGGTTGGAAGAAGTGGTTTCACGTGTAAGATTCATTTAAAAAAGTTGTCATGTGCACACCAAAGAATCTTGAGCCAAAATGGTCCCAAGCCACAAATGATCCACCCATGAAACACACATGAAACAAGTCCATGAAGTGGTTGCTACGTGCCTTTCCACAGGCTTCCAAAGAATATACGCAATTCACTACATGGTCACCTCAGAGCGGTTGTTTGCCCCGAAGCTCGGCCCCCGAAGACCCGAGAGACCTTCTCGACCCAACGGCTACGCTTGGGGCACGTAGCCAAAAAAAAACCACGGCGCTGGGGCGATCCAAGGCAAGGAACTTGACAAAACACCTACCCACAGCAGGGCCCCCGGCTTTTGCCTAATTCTTGGGGAGGTTTGGTCACTTAGTGCGGTGTGGCGCAAAACTGAAGAGCTAGGGGTACGCAGGTCTTAGCTTTGTTGCCATTTACCAAGTGCCTATTTTGGGCACCAACTTTTGAGAAACAGCCAATGGGATATATGTTCATGCATGTACAGCACGGGGCCCCATTCCCAAGGTGTAGCCGACCCACTGGACCTGTGACATGGCGGGCCAGGAACACTGAATTGTCAAAGCTTTGTCCCATGCTTACTTTGACTCAGGTAAGGCAGTGCCAGTCCTTTTTCTTTCGATCTCTAGGAAGCTTCATCATTTGCCCAACCCAACTTACAGGCTCGCCTGTAGCCAAATCCTTCGCAAGCTTTGCTTCGTCATCAAAGCCCCACCAGCAATCTGCAGCCGCCAGTCATTGTCTTGGCTGGTCTTTGGTCCGCTGCAAAGACTTCATGATATTTGCTTGTTTCTGCCAGTTGGGTGTGTCTTTTTTAGGGCACCCCCCCAAAAAAGTGTTTTCCATGTGGTTTTCCCTTAAAGGAACCAACAAAGAGTATCCTCAAAAAAGGACACGCCCACTTGCCGAGGAATCCATCAGTTCCCCAAGTCAAAAGCTGGGCCCAGCCTTCCTCCTTGAAGAGTCGGTGAGACTCCTCCTCTGTGATGCCCTCGTGACCGTCGGGCACGTACCACCACACCTGGTCGCACTTATGCGACTGGGGGAACAATCCCAAGCCATCATCAAAACAGGCCGCTCGTGAATGAGGCGGGGAACATACCCCAATGAGTCCTTTCCGTCGGGGTCTGCACAAAATCATGCAAATGATCAAACGGGGGGGTCACACTTACTTATTGCTGGGGCTGTTAGCCTTCATCGTGCAGCAGCATTCCAACAATGCTGACAATGTTGGTGAATCAACCAAGCCCGCATGACGTGTCAGAACGTCGCGTGCATGCTTTTGCACTTGGCTCGGCAGGTCGCCATGATTGGTGCTACTTGAGTTGCAACATGCGTAGATTGTAGTATACAACCGCATTCTGCCATAACAGCTGTTCAGTGTGCTCGGATCTTGCAAAGCATTCCTACTTTTTTGGCTGACTGTCCAGAAGCTGTCGCATGCAAATCGATGAAATGTTATGCATACATGTGCAAAGAACCTGCACAGCATGCCTTTCTCTTTGGGACTGACTGCCCACAGCCTTGTTTCTTGGATACCGGCCATGGCAAGGCTGAGCTGGAAATGCAGTAGAGGAGATTCTAGTCACACATGTGCTGCGTCCCACGCAGGCCATGTACTCGAGCTTGCTGGCTGCACCAAGGCACGTCCCTTGGGTCAGCGCTTTTTGCAGCCCTCCCAGCAAAAATTAAACAAGACCCAAACAGCCACGTTTTCCACGCAGCTAACGAGCAGAACAGGTGCTGAATTGCAAAAATCATCCGATGTTGGCTGCATTTGTGTGATAAGGCTCGAATCCTCGAAGGCACCACAGCGCATCGGCCCCTAAAGAACTTAGAGCTTCAGAGACATATCGGGTATTAGTAGTCACACTACGTCACACTCTGAACACTGTACGTACGCAACAATATGCTGCGGCAACGAGCAGATCTGCGTCCTCCACCCTTCCGAGAAGCTTAACTTCTAGTGAGTCATGACTCAAACATGCCGAAAGGCTTTGCTCAAAATCAGGCTTCTCGGTTGAAGGTCAACTCAGCGCAAAAAGAGGCGGGTCAGCATGAGAAAGGTCCAAAAAGGTCAGCTTTTCAACAAAAAAGACCAGGGTGCACTGACTTCCCCAAAGCCAAGGGCAAAGGAACCGCAGAAACCGGAGGCTTCCTTTCCTTGCCTCGGGCAACTCCCCAAAGTCCACCTCTGGGAAGGCCGCGCGGAGGCGTGAGGCGGGCCTGAGCCACTTTTTGGAGGAGCTCGATTGAGTCTTCGCGTGATCTGTGGGCCGTTTAACGTGGCTTGGAGTCATTGTATCATTTTACAGGGGGCAATTGATTTCAGGGAATGAAACAACAGGTTTACCAGACTGCAGTTCATCTATTGCCCGCCTTCTTTGGGGAAGAGGTTCACCTCTAAGGGGCCCGGCAAGGGGCCCCGGCAGTCCCCGCTCCAGGCTTCCCAATCCAGCGGAACCAAAGAGCGCCAAAGCCCAAGGGCTGGGGATCTGCGCCTGCCAATATCGCAGGAGGCCTCCATGTGCTCACTGGCCAGCGCTGTGACCATGTGGCGGCCTGGCAGTTCTCGTTCTTAAATGGCAGGCGGCTTATTTGGTTTTGAACATTCCTAAAATTATCCCATTCGGAAGGCTTCTAGCACATTTTCGCGTGGCTTAGAACCAGATTGTAGGAGTTCACCTGTGCTTGCCTTAGTCTCCAAAACGAACCTTTTTCTTGCTGCTCGTGTTGACTCTTGCCTAAATGACAGCTCTAGCTTTCAAGGCGAACTTGGCACAATTGACACTCCCGTTCCAGAACAGCCATCCTGAGCAAGAACCAAATATGGACCGTATACCGTATACCAAAGAAGCAACAGCAAGCAAGAAAGCAAGCAAGCAAGCAAACAAACATATAATGAATGCGCACGCCAAACAACTTGACCATCTGCCCTGATCCGCGTGAACTACCCCATGCTCAAACAATCGAACCAAGCAACCATGTCAAATACGTTTCAGCCGAGGCAAAAAGGGTTCGCCAGTCACCTCTACACGAAGCACAGGGTTCGCCACGCTGGGAGTGCCAGAACCCTGGGAAGCCACGTGGATTCCTTCTGGTTTCCCTACTGCGTCATGTCACCTCCCCTTTGGCTGCCCTTTAAGTGACTTCCTTTTCGTTTCCCTTCTGGCTCCTTTTGGTTTCCTTTTGGAATGGGTGGCTTTCTTCCAAACAAACCACACCTTGTCAAAAATGGCAAAAATGAGTACCCTTTTTGGCCATGGTTTATGCGCCTGCCTTTAAAAGGGGTCCACAAAGGGGTCCATACGTTTGACCACCCACCAAATGCGCCTTTCGATTTCGGCAGTGCCAGCAGGCAGGTCTGGATGGCGCGGGTCAGCGGGGAACCTAAGACGATCCCACACATTTTTGGGGTTGCCTTGCAACCGTTGGACATGCAGTGACCCAACGTGGCGACGAAACACATATATATATATATATATATATGTATATATATATATTATAATATATATATATATATATATATATTATACATAGCTATAATAACGTACATGTGTATGCTGCATATTTCTAAGACTACATCGACTACCCCCAAACCACTACCCCCAGAAGCCAATGGATATACACAGGGTATATAAAGGTTAGGAAAGGGTTCTATAAGGGTTATACGAGCCTCACTTTGTGCATATTTGGCTGCTGCAGAAACCAGGTAATTCTGGAGCCGCGGCATGTGTTTCATCCGGGTTCGCTGCTATCAGTTTGACGTTGAAACTTGTGAACATCAACGCTTGGTTTGCGCCGGTATCTTTGTTTAAGGTGAACATCAAAGCTTTGCTTTCTTGGCAGCCAGTTTGGTTTGCTACTTTGATCATGCCGCGTTGGAGAGACCGCCACATCCCCAGTTTTGGGGGTAGTGAGTCCCAAAACGCGCGGTTTGGGGGTAGTGGATTTGACTGGGCGATTTCGGGCTAGTTACACGTCACCTGGTATGCGCGTGAAAAAGATGAGTCACACCACTACCCCCAGTTTGGGGGTAGTTGGGGGCGGTAGCGCGCGGATAGTGCGGGAGTTCCGGAGTCGGTGTGGGTGGCAACAGGCCCAAAATTGCACTTCGAATACCGGGACAATCGACCACAAAAGTTCACCACTTTTAGCCACGAGGTAGACGGGCACCAGGCTAAGCCATTCTGAAGAACTGTGCTGGTAGGGACTCACCATTCTAGGGGCCACGCAGCTGTAGGCAAATAATTGCAAACATCAAGCAGTTTGAAGGGTCCGCTGGAGCACAAAATGTGGGCTTTTGGGGGCAGTGTTTTGGGGGTAGTGAGTTTGGTCTTAGAATATTGTATAGTGCATATGATAGCATATGTAACATGGGGGGAAAGGTGCCCTCTTCCAACGTCATACAACAAGGCCTGGCGGAAGTAGCAACGAAAATCGCGATCCAAAGGATCCCATCTCAATAACATGTTCAGAACCAGCAAACGAAGACATGGTAAGAATCCCCCGCCTCATGAGCCGACTTCCAACATGAGAAAGCCCAACTATTGCCAAAGGCATGTAAGCATTATTCAAGGGTCACAACCATCTTATCTGTAGTCCGATCATTGATGGTTCATCATCTCGCCTTGGACAAATCTGCCCCAAAAAAACGACAGATCAGTCATTTCGCCTTGAAAAGTTCGCCTTGATTTGTGAAACTTCCCTGGGTCCTCCACTAGAGAGGTTAGAATAGGGGTACCCCTTTTTTTCTGTAGTCTATCTTAGTAGGGGAACCCTCCCCCAAAAAAGAAACGGTAACAGGGCACTACTGGGTTACGTTCAAAAAACGCAGTTCCCGAGACTAAGCGCCTGGGACAAATTTGCCCCAATAAACTGGACATTTGCCCCAGAAACGGGGGAGAAAAAAAAAAACTATGATTTGTGGAACTTCCTCTTCACTTCACACGACGCGGGGCTCACCGCCAGCTGCACGGAGTGCTGCGCCAGGCGCGGCCTCAGCTCCTCGGCCTGGCGCTCGCCCAGCGCCGTCAGCGGCGAGTCCCAGACGTTGCCTGCGACGAAGGCCGCGGCTTCGCGGCGACGGCTGCTGCGCGGCGACGGCTTCGCGGCGAGGTGCGCTGATCCTTGACTCACTGAGAATGGTTCTAGGGCACACTTACCAAGCCAAACCATCAGAACCCCAGGAGAAACAGCTGGTTTTTTAAAAGAAGGATGGTTGAAAAGAATGGGGAATGAACCCCTAGAATGGTAGCAGTTCTCCCAAAAAGTCTCACTTCACATGGGTGCTTCTCACTGATAGAATGGTTGGGTTTCTCTCAAAACTGCAGAATTTGGGACTTTTTCAGGTAGGTTCCTTGTGGTGTCCCTTTGAAAGCCATCCAACAAGTGCGTTGAGAACCCCCCGAAATGAGGTGCAACCCATTTTCAGGGATGCTTCTCTCAGGGATGGTTCTTTTTGGATTCCTGAAACGCCAGAAAGGGTTCCCTTCCACCAATTAACATGGAACCTGACAAGGGGGTCCTGGAAATCCATTTCCCTTTAAAGGGGCCCCCGCCAAGTTCGATGTTAATTGGTGGAAGGGTCCCTCAAAGAAAGACCCGCCCACAGTGATTGTTCCGTTTGCTGGCGTTAAACCTCACATTTGGGGCAGCGACAAAGTGATTTTGTGGGGTGATGTTTTAAGGGAAATATTGGGGACTCGGTTATTCCAGAGCCCTTAAAATCGCCAATACTCATTTCTGTTAGGGCCCTCCAAATATCTAATGACACCCTACCGCTCTTGCAAGTGATATTATATGTTCCTCTCTGCTGATTAACATGAAACTATCAAAATCCTGAGAGGAATCTCAGTATGGAGACAGAACCCCACTTTATGATTATGTTCTTAAGTTGTTGTTTTGTGTTTTTCGGGGGGGGGGGGGAGTCATGCAATTTTGAAGGGGAGTGATTCTCGGGATTGACTCCCAAGTCTCCTCACCCAACTATCAAACCATGTTCGCTGGATTTGGGTTGCCGTTGTCTGAGAAAAGGATCCTGAAAAAAGAGTGTGTGTAGACTTGGGCACCGTCGACAAACATGTTTGTCGCAAGGCAACTAAAAATGTGTTTTCCATCCCCTGAATATGGTTCAGTTGATTTGTGGGGCACAAACCTATGCATATGCTGGGGGTCCGCCGACAACAGGCGGCGTGTTGGACATAAGAAATGCTCCTTACCTCTTTACCTGTTACCCCTCCCCTAACCCCTCTATTGCGGGGGGGGGGGGTCCACGTACCACGCGGTGATTCGAAGACGCTTCACTAAATCTGCTCATTGTGCGGGCTTGCGCAACTCAGTTTGTCAAAAACATTGGGGTGTTCGATTCCCCCCGGGTGCGCTTTCGCGTCCTTAGCAGCGCCGGCGACACATCGCCAGCATCACCTGCATCATCCGCATCAGCGCCTGCCAAGGATGCGGATGATGCAAGTGATGCTGGGGATGTTGCCTATGCTGGTGAACCCCCCCCCCCCAGTTCCTTGTTGAGATCATTTATTTCCCCCCTTTTCCTTCTAAGGCCTTTTCCTACCCTCAGTTCTTCTCCCTTTTCCTCCCAAAGATCTTTCCCCCCCTTTCCTCCCTAAGTCCTTTTCCCTGAGTTCGTCTCCCTTTGCCTCCCTAAGATCTCTTCCCCCCTTTCCCGCTTAAGATCCTTGCCCCCGTTTCCCCCCTAAGGCCTTTTCCCCCCAAGATCTCCACCCTTCTCTTCCCAAAGTTTTTTCTCTCTTTCCCGATTGAGATCCTGTCCCCCGATTGCCCCTTAGGGCCTGTTCCCCCCGAGAAAGATTTCCCTTTTCCTCCCAAAGATCTTTTCCCCCCTTTCCCCCTTAAGGCATTTTTTCCCCAGATCTTCTCCCTTTCCTCCCTGAGATCTTTCCCCCCCTTTCGCTGTTGAGATCCTTTCCCCCTTTCCCCCCTTCATTTCCAGATCTTAGGGAGGAAAGGCAGAAGATCTGGGGCAAAAAGGCCTTAGGGGGGAAAGGGGAGAAATGATCTCAACAGGGCAAGGGGTGGAAAAGATCTTCGGGAGGAAAGGGAGAAGATCTGGGGAAAAAAGGCCAACAGGGAAAGGGGGGAAAAGATCTTAGGAAGGAAAAGCGAGAAGCTCTCAGGGGGGGAAAGGCCTTGGGAGGGAAAGGGGGGAAAGGATCTCAACAGGGAAAGGGTGGGAAAGATCTTAGGGAGGAAAGGGGGGGAAGATCTTGGGAGGAACTCCCTAAGATCTTCCCCCCCCCCCTTTCCTCCCTAAGATCTTTCCCACCCTTTCCCTGTTGAGATCCTTTCCCCCCTTTCCCTCCCAAGGCCTTTCCCCCCCCCCCCATGAGAGCTTCTCCCTGTTCCTTCCTAAGATCTTTTCCCCCCTTTCCCTGTTGGGCTTCCCCCCCTAAGTCCTTTTCTCCCAGATCTTCTCCCTTTCCTCCCTAAGATCTTCCCCCCCCCCTTTCCTTCCTAAGATTGTTTCCCCCCTTTCCCTGTTGAGATCCTTCCCACCCTTTCCCCCAGGCCTTTCCCCCCCTGAGAGCTTCTCCTTCCTTAGATCTTTCCCCCCTGTCCCTGTTGGCCTTTTTTCCCCCAGATCTTCTCCCTTTCCTCCCTAAGATCTTTTCCACCCCTTTCCCTGTTGAGATCATTTCTCCCCTTTCCCCCCTAAGGCCTTTGCCCCCAGATCTTCTCCCTTTCCTCCCTAAGATCTTTCCCCCCCTTTCCCTGCTCAGATCCTTTCCCCCCTTTCCCCCCTAAGGCCTTTCCCCCCCTGAGATCTTCTCCCTTTTCCTCCCTAAGATCTTTTGCCATTTTTCCCTGTTGAGATCCATCCCCCCTTTCCCCCCTAAGGCCCTTTCTCCCTCTGAGTTTTTCCCTTTTCCTCCCCACGATGTTTTCCCCCCTCTCCCTGTTGAGATCCTTTCCCTCCTTTCCCCCCTAAGGCCTTTTTTCCCCCCGCGATCTTCCCCCTTTTCCTTCCTAAGATCTTTTCCCCCCTTTCCTTGTTGAGCCTTTCCTTTCCCGCCGCGATCTTCCCCCTTTTCCTTCCTAAGATCTTTTCCCCCCTTTCCTTGTTGAGATCCTTTCCCGCCCTTTCCCCCCTAATCCCCCCCTTCTCCCTTTTCCTCCCTAAGATCCTTTGCCCCCTTTCCCTGTTGAGATCCTTTCCCCCCTTTCCCCCCTAAGGCCTTCCCCCCCCTGAGATCTTCTCCCTTGTCCTCCCCAAGATCTTTTCCCCCGAGATCTTCTCCCTTTTCCTCCCTAGGATCTTCTCCCACCTTTCCCTGTTGAGCTCCTTTCCCCCTTTTCCCCCTAAGGCATTTTCAGATCTTCTCCCTTTTCCTCCCTAAGATCCTTTGCCCCCTGTCCCTGTTGAGATCCTTTCCCCCTTTCCCCCCTAAGGCCTTTTCCCTGCCTGGGACCTTCTCCCTTTTTGACTGAGATCTTTCCCCCCCTTTCCCTGTTGAGATCCTTTCCCCTCTTTCCCCCCTACGGCCTTTCCCCCCGCTGAGATCTTCTTCCTATTCCTCCTTAAGATCCGTTGCCCCCTTTCCCTGTTGAGATCCTTTCCCCCCTTCCCTTTAAGGCCTTTCCAGATCTTCTCCCTTTCCTTCCTAAGATTGTTTCCCCCCTTTCCCTGTTGAGATCCTTCCCACCCTTTCCCCCCTCAGGCCTTTCCCCCCCCTGAGACCTTCTCCCTTTTCCTTCCTTAGGTCTTTCCCCCCTTTCCCTGTTGGCCTTTTTTCTCCCAGATCTTCTCCCTTTCCGCGCCAAGATCTTTTCCACCCCTTTCCCTGTTGAGATCATTTCTCCCCTTTCCCCCCTAAGGCCTTTGTCCCCAGATCTTCTCCCTTTCCTCCCTAAGATCTTCCCCCCCCCCCCGCTGAGATCCTTTTCCCCCTTTCCCCCCTAAGGCCTTTCCCCCCCCTGAGAGCTTCTCCCTTTTCCTTCCTAAATCTTTTCCCCCCTTTCCCTGTTGGGCTTTCCCCCCTAAGTCCTTTTCTCCCAGATCTTCTCCCTGAAAGGGAGACGATCTGGGAGATCTTAGGGAGGCAAAGGGAGAAGATCTCAGGGGGGAAAAGGCCTTAGGGGGGAAAGGGGGGAAAGGATCTCAACAGGGAGAGGGGTGAAAACATCTTAGGGAGGAAAAGGGGAAAAAACAGAGGGAGAAAAGGCCTTCGGGCGGAAAGGGGGAATGGATCTCAACAAAGAAAGGGGGGCAAAAATCTCAGAGGGGAAGGGGGCAAGGGGACAATTCCAAAGGGACGCAAATAAGAAAGCAGGCCTGTAATGTCGGCGGCCTGAGCCGGAGGCACTAAAATATGAGGAGATTGTAAGGATATTCGCAGTTTGGGCACATACCCCAGGAGCATGAAGTTGTTGCATTGGCCATTCAGGTCAGAGGTTGATTTCAAGGCAGGTTTGAAGGCTTCCGGTCCAAGTTTGCCCGAGTTACTTGGGCTGGGGGGACAAGCACCACTTCTCCATGGTACTTCTCTCTGAACCAGATCTCCAGTAGCTTGTAAACTCTCCAGATTGAACATTCAAGCTAGACGATACCGGAAGGTGTTGGGGAGTCGGGCGCTGAGTCAATGGTAGAACGAACCCCCTTCAGACCCGAATGAGCTTGACTCAAGCTGATACAGCGTGTGCACAAAACAGCATACGACATGGTTCATGTGCCTGGGTCGGAGTGGTGCTTGGCATAGTGTACATTGTATTCACTCTCCTTGGCTACCGAGCGAGTTCAAGCGTGATGCGCAAGCAAGCTCCTGCCATCCACTGCTTCTACCAACATGGCTATAAAGTTTGCGTTGGTCATGCCCCAATTGTTCGGTAGCCCTGGAGTCCAACATGTTCTGCTAGACAACACATCAATTAAAAGGGAACCAGGGAGTGGGCTGCTGTAGAACTATCTGCTAAAACGGCCAACAGGGCTTGGCAGCACTCTGAAAACACAATCCGCATGGCACTTTTATGGGCCCTCCCTGGAATCCGATTGAACCGGGTAGTTGAGCCCAACAATGAATTGGCCAACCGAAACAAACAAAAACTGTTGCTCACATGGATTTATGATCCCAATCCTCAGACCACATGCAGTGAGTGACCGCAAACGCCTCGTCTTCCCAACTCTGGCATGTCAGCCAAGCACTTCGTGCTTTGCAGCCCCGAAAAAAATACGAAGACCAGCAAAGGTTGCCTCCCAAGACGAAATGAACTCCGGGACTCTATACCACCCTCCCAAAAAACACCCCCGAAAGGTCAGCGGTTGCTAAGCCTTCTTGCGGGCGAAGCAAAGCCGAACAAAACCAAATAAGACCAAATAACGCCTAAAAGGCGGTTGGGAAGAAGGGTCCCTGTTGAACACAGCTACGGATACTTAGTAAGTTGTTCTCAAACATGTTATCACCTTGCCATCGGTTGCAAGTCCCCCTAAGTTGTAAACCCTCACTTCCTGAGTGGTTTGGTTAAAAAGGTCCTAACTTCTTGTTTGCCACTAAAATGGTCTTCCCAGAAAGTGTAAAGTCCAGAAGCTCAAAAAGTGAGAGCCCCCTTACTTTCTGTGCCCCTCCGGGTACGACTAATCCATCGACAATTTCTCTGGGCTTCTCCGTGTCGAACCAGCACAAGTCGGCGCCGGCAGCGCAGGAAGGACAGGCACCCGTCGAAGCAGCTCATCAGCCGAAGGTTGCGTGAGATTTGAATTGACCTGACAGCTTTGTTTGTTTCTTCTGATCCAAATAAGCATCAAGTTCTTTTAGTATTTGTTTGCGTGTCAGAAAATGTGGCAATCAGCTGGGGAATAAACGCCAGCGCTCGCTTCTTTGTCATGTAGACATGCGCTGATTCACCAAACTGGAATTCAATATTAACCTGGGCATTGTGGGCCCTAGGGTCGAAAGCCATTCGGGTTGCTAGCACAAAAAACTGCCTTTGTTGCGGCTCCCCACACAAAAATAACCGAAACCCAAAAACACGGAAAACTGACGACATCTCAAGTGAACAGTACAGCTTGGACGAGATGGCGAACTTGTCCCAGCTTCTTGGCAACACAATATTGACCGATGTGGAATGAATGTCGGGGAAATGACCATATGCTAGTCCAAATCTGAAAGCTAAAAGGTGTTGGGGCAAGCAATTGGCTTCCTAACATTTTGGTATCCCCGTTCTGGGTTGCAGCTACGCGGAAACCGCTTTGCTTCCTCTCAAAGTTTTTGGGACACAGCGCAGCTCTCAAAAGGAGCCGCTGGCTGCGCCAGAGGAGCCGGAAAGCTTGGACGGCTGCGAGGGTTTGAGCCAAGGCAGCGGGGCTTCCTGCGACTCGACAACTCGCGAGGTTCAGGCATCGACAGCTTTGTGAAGGACTGAAGGGGGAAACGGAAGAGGGGCTGAGATAAGCGACAAACTCGTCAAGCGGCAAATGTGTCAAAAACCGCGTTTGGAAGAAATCAGAAAGAAACCAACATTACACCAATCACTGGTCCATGGCATGCACGCATATGGGCGTGTCTTTTCTTCGGGTACCCCTAAAAATGGTGGTGGCTATTCAGGTTTCCCTTTAAAACCAACCTTGAAAAGGGGCTCCCAAAAAAAGACACATCTATATTATGACACATGCCATGGAACCTTTGCCAATCCCATTGGGGACTGGTATCAAAATCTAACAGCTCATGATGGGGCCCGGTTCGTGACTTGTTGCTCCAATGTGGGTGTGTCTTTTCTCTGATGGTACCCCATTTTGGTGGTTTAAAGGAGCACCAAAATGAAAAAACAGAATTTGGGGGGTCCCCTTAAAAAAAAAAGACACACGCATATTGGCCCCAAGCCAAAGGAATCTGATTCTCCAGCCAAGGGCTTCGGAGCAATGGTAAATTCGATTCGGCAATCGATCAACGCGTGGCGGCTGCACTGCGCTTTGGAGCATCTTCCTTGTGGTCTGCGTCCATGGCCTGCAGAGACAAATATAGGGAAAGGGTCAAACAACCGGTATTCCACAATGGACCCCTGGCAAGTGGAAAAATGGACCAAAATCTGCGGTTTGCCCCTCCTGTTTAATTTTGAGCCACGGCCATATAGGGAAAGGGTCGACACAAATCAGCGTGAGGCCCTTCTTGGGGGAGTAATTACCCGAGAACAAGTCTGTTGTTCCGTGTCTGTGAACAACAGGATTCCCCAGTTGCCCGGTAACCCTGGTAGAAAACGTGAAACCGTTTGGGGTCGACTGCTTTGCTTTGGGAACACACCAAACTAAAACGGGAAATCACTGAACAATTGCGACGGATCCCCCCAATATGCCCATCCTTTCGCCTAACTCACATCGAATGGACTGCCTCCATCTTTGATGGAGCATGGCACAGCGCACGTGAAAATTGAAAAAGTTCTCCAGACTTTCTTGAGCCAATTCTGTCGGATTTGACAAAGTCGGATTTGTCTTTGGTCGATTTGGTCGGACTCCTGACTTTGTGTTCGACACACGGCGGCAGGTTGTTTCTGCTTCTGCAAAAGCTCGCCCACTGCTCGCATGATGGAAGCTGGCCATTTTCATGCGGGGCATTTGAGCCAAACTTGGTGCGAGGGTGCGGGCAGTCTTCGCCGTAGCACGCAAGGTCTTCAGCCGCACCTGGGTACACCCGGGTGTTGCCGATAGGCAACAAAGGTTTTGGATGGTTTGAACAGCAAACCACATGTATATATGCGGTCCCCTTTTGTAGTAAACACTCGCCCCACTTGCATCAAAAACATCAGGTAGCCGAGTAAGGCCAAAAAAGCACCCATGACTGTGTGACAGCACCCTACTGCAGATCACACAGTTTGTGGGTTCCTCTTTAAAGCTTTACACCAAGTCAGCCGCTGTCTTGATAGCTTTCTGCTTACTATCTTGTCCACAAAGTGTCGGCCTTTTGGAACCCTTTTGGGGCAAGTGTGCCATATCTTCAAGCGCGTTCCGGGGGGCCTCCATTGCAAGGTGCTGGACTCTGTCCAGTGTGTGTGGGCTGGTTTTCCTCACCCAACCTCATGGTTGTCTTTGAATCTTAGGCGAGTAGAGTGACATTCCAAGTTCAACCCGTTCACTTTGAGGAGTTACTCAATTTCAAGGCCCATGGAGAGCAAAGTCGCATCTCTGCGGACCAAAACCGTCGACCCGAAGGCTTCACAGTGAATTCACATCCTTCTGAAGGTTGACACACGGAAACTCACCAAGGAAAAGGTAACCCTAGGTGCCACAAGGGCCCCTTGTCTCTCCAACAAAGAAAAGCTAAGCTTCTATAGAATGACATATTCCAAACAACCAGCGTCCCAACGCACAGCCACCTGTATCCACCTGTGGTTGGCTTCAAAACGCTAACCAACAAAATGCCAACCCCATAGAGGCCGCACCTTTTGCGACAAATCAGCATACTCGATTCGGGCCACGTCCCTACCCTCAAGCAACCGTCTGCCCTTCTGGGGCGCCACGCCTCGAGCTCCGCGACCTCACTGGCCAGCTCCTGCTCCTCTGTTTGCAGCACCTCGCTCGAGAAAAATGCAAAACATCCCCACAAAAACACGGGGGCTTTATATGCCCTGTAATTGTGTAATTGCCCACATGTTTCTGGTTGAAAATGCGTGAACTTGCAAGGAACCGTCCCTTTGCTGGGAGTACACTTCCGCCACGATACACCCCCTTGCTGGGCGTCTTTTACGGGTGGGAATCCCGACCCGTTTTGGCTCGTTTCGGGACAAGATTGGCATCCAAGAATCATCCGACTTGGCCTGTCTTCATTCAAAACCGGACTGGAAAATCATAGCAATTTGGTTGCGAAATCTTTGCTTCCCCCGCAAGGTGAGACTTTTTGGATGGCCTTTGAAACGAGTTTGGTGCATCGTGCAGCCCGGTGACCCGGAAGCTAAATCAAAGCACATGGTCCAATCCAGGAAACATCACCTCTTCCACCCAAAGGTCAATTCGCGCTTTTTTCAAGCCAAAAGGATGAGTCAAAACCGGCGATTTCAGGGAGAAATCGCTGGTCTGGTCCGAGAAAGGCTTCGCCAGATGTCCGTTGTGGCGGCGTTTTTGAACCAACAAATTCGTCCTTTTGCTTTCCGTTTAAAGCGACCATGTTTGTTTGGTTCTCCCTTCACTCACCCCCCAAAGGACCTGGTTCACTGTGGACTTTGACTAAACGAGCCCCAAAACGGGTTGGGAGTAATGGACAACTCAGTTTAGCCCCCTCCTCCCCCGTGCCATGGACACTCAGAGCCTGGAACGCTCAACAAAAAGCCAAAACCCTACAACCCTACCTCAACGAAGGAGGCCGCAAAGTAAAAAACATCGACCCGTTCTGTGTCCATCATACTCCCCCCCAACCCCTCCAACACCCCCCAACCCCCCCAATTCCCCCGCCCCCAAACCCCCCCCACTCCCCGAGGGTGGCTTCGCGGGTGGCGCCTCCACGTCGCCCCGGCGGCTCTCGCGGGTGGCTTCCAGGCGCCGCAGCTCCGCCTGCAACTCCGGCAGCTCCGCCAAGGTCGTCGTCTGAGCGAGAGGAGCGCTGTTGGGTGGCTAGGGTGGTTGGGGTGGTTAGGGTGGTTAGGGTGGTTAGGGTCAGTTAGTTAGTAAGTCTCTCGGGTAAATCCAACGGACTCTCTTTTCCAGCCAACCAACTGAGGTCATCCACGCCATCCCTGAGGGAAAGACATGACTGGATGATGGATTCAGGGAAGGTGGGCTCACTCAGCTCACAACCAGCCCTCAACCTTAACGGAAATGAATGAGTGGGGACCCGGCTCGTGCAAAGCTGGGCTTGAAACCGGGCTCGAAATGGAGCTCGGATGATTCATGGGGCAGGACGCATGTCAGGCGGCCTGCACAGACAGTTACACTTCAGGCAGTCTGGGAAGCACAACCTTGCTATGAGGAATCCTCATGGGGCGGGGCCAGAACCCCGTCAGTGTTTGACTCACCTCAACCTCTTGTTCCCCGTGAAAGGGAGGCAGGAGATCGAGCAGGTGCAAGCTTCCCCTAGGACCCACAACCTGAATCCACAACCTTAAATCCAAAGGAGCAATATCACTGCTTGGACCTCGCTCCCTGGAGGCACCGAGTCCGAAGCTTGCAACCCGGTCAGACTTGTCATGCACCCAGTGAGTCCAGCCCAGGTTGGGTTCGGATGTTGGTTTCAAGAGTGACCTAAGCCCATGGAGCTTCCCAAACGAATCTCCGAACAGAGCACCCAGCGGGGATTTCCCAAGTGCCACCAAGAATCCTCTTGCTTGGCTCTCCCCGGTTTCTTGAGTATCCGGAGGCTGAAGGCTGAGCTGGGGTTGTTCCCCTTGGAGTCATTGGTGGCAACTTAAAGCGGGACACCTGGTTGAAGCTGGTTCATTGGTTGGCACAGGATAGCTAAGGCTTCCCCTCTCCCCTCCCGAAAATCGCGCAGCGGGCTGCTCAGGGTTCCAGTGCAAATATATCTCGAAAAAGCAATCCAAACATATCGGTGTTGCCAAAAGGTGATGCCTGGCTCGTGACGGGGTAGCTCCTTCAAAGGAAGCATCAAGCAGAAACAGGGAAGTTGAAGGAAGCACCAGAAACAGGAAGTGTACAGGGAAACACTTCGAAAGACAAAGTTCAAGGAAAAACCTGAGCGAAATCAGATAAACCCATCAATTGAAGTTGAAAGAGGAAAAGTGAAGTTGGAAGCAGGCACCACAGGCTCCGTTGCG